CAGCCCAGGAGCCGCAGAGCTCAGCCCAGGAGACATGGATGGCATCTCTGCTACTGGCACACAACCCATGCCTGGAGGGTGGCTCTGACACTGCCTGTCCAGCACCAGGTGCCTCCAGGGACACTGTGAGTTGCCTTGCAGCCACTTGTGCTGTCACTCTTCTGAGACAAGTGCCACCATTCCCTGCCCATGGCCCCATGGTGTGGCTGCCCCCAGGATCCAGTCCCAGGGCTGGGGTGAGATGGTTGATGTGGGGCCTTTCAGTGCTGCCTGCAGAGGCACCAGCCCCATTGGGGCTCTCCTGGCAGAGGGCACAGCCCAGGGGGGCTGCAGACGCCCCCAGGAGCCTGAAGGGATGATGATGGCAATGGGGATGGGAACAGGCAGCCACAGGGCAGGGAGCAGGGCCGATCCCTGAGATGGCCCTGGCTGGAAAGACGCTCTCTGTGTGGCAGCATCAGCTCATGCTGCCCAGCCCGTGCACAGACCCTGAGCACCAGCTCCTGCCACCCCACTGCTGTGCCTGTCCCCCAAACCACAGTGACACCCTGGGTCTCCTCATGCACCAACCTCCCAGCACCTCAAACGCCTCCCCCAGCCCAAGGGGTTTGACCCCAAACACCCCAGGGCTGCCAGCACCGACCCCACAGACACCACGGGAACACGGACCCTGCACACACAATGGGAGCAGCAGCCCCACAGGCACCACGAGAACACTGACCCCACACACTTTGGGCACCGTCCCCATGCCCATGGCGGGGACACCGACCCCACATGCATGAGGGGCATCACCCCGCTTTGCCTTCACCTCTGCAGCCCCACAGCCCCGTCCCCACCAAGCCAGGATGGGCTCCCCGGGGCTGGGGGTCTAGGGGGGTTATTTGCCTGTTCGTTTGCTTATGGCCTCCACGAGGCTGGAGGGGAAGTATCCCACGCGGTCGTTGCCGGTGCGGTTGTCGTGGATGCAGCCCTTCCATCGCCCGTCCGCGTGCTGCTCCAGCACCTGCGGGCGCGCCAGGTCAGGGCCGGGCCGGGGGCTGGCACTGCCACCGCGCTGTCCCCGGCCCCCCCGGCCGCACTCACGGTGATGACGTCCCCGGCTTTCACGTTCAGGCTGGTCAGGTCGTAGTTGTTGCAGTAATCCTTGACGGCCCGCACCTGCAGGGCTGCGGAGGCGTCTGTGGATGGAACAGGGGCGTCAGCGGCCGCGCGCCCCACGGGGGTTGGCACCCCCAGCCCGGCGTCCCTGTGCCAGCGCGGCCGCTCTGTGCCCTCCAACCCCCTACCCCGCAGCATCTGCTTGATCTCCTTGCTGGCCTGGCTGGTGGTGAACTGGTTGACGATGTCCAGAGCCGTCTGGTTGTAGGTGTTCCTGACGTGGGCGTTGATCCCGCTCTGCAATGGCACCGAGAGGGATTGGGAGGAGGCTGGTCCCCGTCCTGCCACCCCTGGGGCTCCCTAGGCCACCAGCAGCTGGAGGGCACAGCTCTCAGACCTTCGTGTGTACCCCCCTTGCTACCCTCACCCCTCAGTGTGCACCCCCAGGACCCTCAGAGCCTTGGTGCATCCCTTCCAGGACCCTCAGAGCCTTGNCACACACACAGGATGGTGGCCATCACCAGCAAACACACACACACACAAACACAAACACACACACACACCATGGTGGCCATCACCAGCAAACACACACACACCCACACACACGATGGTGGCCCCAGAGCCAGGGGGCAGCAGGACCCACGGCTGCAGCCCCTACGTGGCCTTGGGCCGGCCCTTGAGGCGGATGATGGCCCGGTAGTCCCGCACCAGGTCCCGCAGCTGGTCCAGGTAGGGGTTGACGTTCTCCTCCAGCCACTCCTCCACCGTGTCAGGGAAGTAGATCCTGTCCAGCTGGGCACGCAGGTCACGGACAAAGCTCTCCCAGTCCTCGTGGAGCCTGAGGGGGAGAGCAGGGGTGCAGCTCCCTCCTGCCAGGGAGCCCCCCAGCCCCGGGCAGACCCCTCCCAGCCCTGGCAGCACCTACTTCAGCACCTTGCTGCCAAAGCTCTCCATGTTGCGGGGGTTCCCAAACTGCCGCTTCCTGTGGTAGGGGCTGAACCAGCCCTTGATGGCGCTGCAGAGGCACGAGGGACTTGGGGACACAGGGGGCACCGGGGATGGGGAGCTGCGCCTCAGGCAGGTCCCCTCCCATGGAGATAACATGGCCAGAGGCACCAAAGCCTGTTACCTCTCCTCCTCCAGCGCCTTGAGGATGCTCTCCTTCAGGTGGCCATTGACCTGCTCCACCATGTGGTAGATCTCCACACCAGGGAACGCTCCCCGGCCCTCGCTGGGGAAGGGAGGGGAAGGTGAGGGCTCAGCACGTGGAGTGCCCTGGGCTGGGTGAATCCAGCACCCCGGCAGGTCTGGGACCATTTGGGTGACCAAGCCCTGCCTCCCTCCAGTGCATCCCTTGTGATGCAGCTGCCCCCACCACGTGGCACACACCAGGTGCTCTGCTCCAGCTGCACGCTGTCCAAACCCAGCACATCCAGCACCTTCCTCTTTGCCTCTTCTGTGAAGCCCCCTGGGAGGGTGAGGAGGGGGACAGAAGAGCCAGGAACACCATCAGGCTCACCCTGGCTTCACCACACCCCAAAATGAGTGAGCTGAAGCTCTTCCTCCTCTTCCTCCCACCTCCCCTGCGCCCTGCCCAGCAGGACAGGGCCTGGCAGGCAGTGGGAGCTGGGGGTGAGCCCGGCCATGCTGCCAGGGCTGGGGCTCACCGTTCACCAGGGTCTGCAGGCAGATGGCCAGCGAGGGGATGCTGACGGGCAGCAGCTCACAGAGCACCGAGTAGTGATCGTACCTGCAGGACAGGGACAGGGACAGGGACAGGGACAGCCAGCACCGTGCCAGCACGGCTCTGTGGGCACCGGGAGGGCACAGGGGGTCCCAGCTCCCCTCACCTCTGCCAGCCGGTGAGCACGATGCCCTGCAGGCGCAGCGGGGCCAGCCGTGGCACGGCCTGCATCACCTTCAGCCAGCTCAGGTGGTTTTTCAGGTGGTAGCTCAGCGGGGTCCAGGCCTGCGCCGGCCCCGTGGTGCCCTTGAAGGCGCTGGCGAACCACACGGCCTCGAAGCCGCTCTCCACGTACTTGGTGAGGAACTGCACTGCAGGGGGACAGCACCACCAGTGCCACTGTCCCCAGGGGCTGCAGGGGCTTAGGGGGGATCTCCCCATCGCCCCCAGGGCCCTGGCACATCCCCTTACCGATCTGCTCAGCCTCAAAGTCGGGTGCGTAGAACCACAGCACAGGGGAGACGTGCTTGGCTATCCCGGACTCTGCAGGGAGAGGGGACGGTGGTGCAGGCAGCAGGAGGGAGCCTGGGGCTCCTCACACTCCCCGAGAGCTACATTCCCCCAGGGCAGGGCAGGGCAGGGGCTCCTGCTGGCACTGGGTGTGATGCCTGCCAGGGTGGGCACACAGCGGGTGCGGATGGGGAGCCTGGCACAGGTGCCACCCTGTGCCCTGTGCCCTCACCCCGCAGGGCTCCCACGCTGATCTTCCTCAGCATGTCGTCCCACATGAGCACGCGCAGTCCCCAGTACTGCGCCGTCAGGAAGCCCAGAACCTCCTTGATGTGCCTCAGGTACATGGTGCCCACGTCGCCCTTGTGCTGGCTCATCCAGTTCTTGGAGTCCATCCCCTCCCCGAGGTGGAAAACCTGGATTTGGGGGCAGGGAGAGGCTCAGCAGCCCTGGAGGCACCCCCAGTGCCTGGGGAGAGGGCTGGGGTCCCTGCAGAGCCCCTGCCCACCTCGTCTGCCCCGATGTGGATCCAGGAGGAGCGCCGGTGCTTCTCGATCACCTGGGACAGGATGCTCTTGAGCAGGGCCAGCGTGTCGGGCACGTGGGGGTTGAAGCTGTTGGGGAAGCGCTCGACCTCCCGCAGGTGCTGGTACTTCTCGTGCTTGAGGATGAACTGTGGGGAGGAGCCATCAGGGGGTGTCCAGGGGAACCCCTGTGAGCCGGGATGGGGAGCAGGGCTGGCAGCCTCTACCTCCACGTGGCCAAAGGTCTGCACCAGGGGAACCACCTCCAGCTTGTGCTGCTCCGCCAGCTGCTGGATCCGCTCAATGTCCTCCTCGCTGGGAGGGCAGGGACAGGCTCAGTGCCAGGGCAGGGCATGGGGGCACTTCCCCCTCCTCCCCTCCTCTGGCACCCTGGTTACCCCACAAATGTGTGCACTTTACTGGGGTGCACAAACATTGGCCTGTCAGGGCAGGAGGACCTGCTGGTCTGCCCAGCAGCACAGCCTGGCACTCTGAGCGTGGTTATCATGGGCACGGTGCCAGGTGAATCACACCCACCAGGACCTGCAGGGCCACAGCCCCACAGCCAGCTGGGCACACTGCCCTGCTCACCTGTAAGCGTACGGGGACCTGAGGATTTCCAGCTCCCCCTTGAAGGGGAACATGTCCTCGTACTCGATGAGGACGCCGTTGGCTCCCAGCTGGGACAGGAGGGGGAACACCTGCAGGGTGGGCAGGGTGGGCTCAGCAGCGGGCATGGCACAGCCCAGGATGGCACATGCCCATCAGTGCATCCCCTCCTCCCTGTCCCTGGGCACCCTCACCTGCTCCAGGTAGGAGACTCTGGGTGCAGCTCCCTTGAGGTCCAGGTGGACCAGCCTCATCTGGGTGGCACTGACATCCCTGGCGACCTGCTGCTTTTGCTTCAGGGTCATTATCTTTGCTGCAGGCACCTCCAGAACCTGCTGGCTCTGGGGGATGACGTCCTGGACGACGTCACCCGTGTCCCCCCAGAACCCGCTGTCCTTGCTGACGTGCTTGTGCAGCTCCAGGGTGAGGCTGCAGGGAGTGGGGCAGGGATGGGGGTGTCCGTGNCATCCCCTGGGCATTGCCCCTCCAGCCCTGCCAAGGGCACGGGGGAGGCGTGGGAGCACTGCCTGGCCATGCCATGGGGGATGCACGGGCCCTGCACCCCTTTGGCCACAGGATCTGGCCCCACAGCCCCTTGCCCCAGTCCAGATGTCCTGCCCAGCACTGATGGCTCCACAGGCAGCAGCATCCAGGGGCTCCAGCACCCCAGCGAGCATCACCTGCTCATCCCTGCCTGGCTTTCTCTGTGGGCAGGGAGGTTCTGCCCGGTGCCCAGGGAGCAGCAGCAGGGGCCATCAGGGGTGGCTGCATCCCAGGGAAGGTTCCTGCTCTCCCAGGGAAGGCTCCTGCTCTCTGAGAAGGTTCCTGCTCTCCCAGGGAAGGCTCCTACTCCCCAGAAAAGGTTCCTGCTCTCCCAAGGAAGGCTCCTGCTCTCTCCCAGGGCCGGGGGAACTGGGCAGCTCCGGTGGCTGCCGGCCACGTGTGCCCTGGGCATTGCACCACAATTGGATTTGCATCTGCCCTGCCTTTTACTGCATGGAAATTGAATTGTAAAATGTCAAAGACATTTCCTAACTGCGCCATATTAGCCCGGTTTTATTAAATACTGTTATCAGAGCAGATTATGAATGCAATCAAGTGCAGGCAAGAAAAGCCAGAATTAACTGGCCACTGTGCAGGAGGACACACCGGAGGGCAGGAGGCAGCTGGCGAGGCCCTGCCCAGGGCCCATGTCCCCAGGTGCTCTGGCTCTGCTGCCCACTGTCCCCAAACCCTGGAGCATCAGTGAAGGAACGTCCCCACCCAGCCAGTGCAGCTCCACTCACATCCCAGGACAGCTCCCCAGGACCCAGGGGGTTCTTGCTGAGCTTTGAGGTCCCTTCCTAGACAGGGCAGGACCTGCTCCCTGCACATGGCAGCAGGGCAGGACTGATGGGACAAGCCCTGAGATGCCAAAGCTGCTGCCAGGGACACACAGGGCAGCATTCAGAGCCCTGCCCAGGTGGCAGTGCAGGAACAGGGCTCTCCTGCCCAGACTGGGGGCACACTGAGAGCTGCCCAGGCCTCAGCACCAGCACCCCGGGCAGTGGGGCCGGGCTGGGCTGGGTTACCCAGGATTGCTCTGACGTGGCAGGACACAGGGGATGCAGAGATCTGTGCCCTGCCCTGGCTAACCCAGCCCTGGGTGGCCCCAGAGCTCCAACAGCACACCAGGACACGAGTCCTGATGGCAACCTGGGGGACCAGGGTGGCACTGAGGACCAGGCATGGGGAGGGCAGCACAGCCCCACAGGACACAGCCCGGGATTCCACCCACACAGCCAGTTCCTGCCATGCTGGGTGATTGACTGCAGGGCCACGTGCTGGGACATCTCCTTGGCCACACGATGCTGCCATGTGTGGAAGTGCTTTACAGAGCCCCCCAAGCCTGGCTGGAGGAGAAACTGGAGCAGAGGGTCCAACCTTTGGCTGGAGGTCCCACACTCAGCACCGGCAGCACCACACGGGAGCCTTTCCCAACGTGGATGAGCCCTGGCAGGGCTCACAGGGCAGGAGCCAGCCCACTCCAACCCTCCACAGCCACAGAACTGTGGATCCTCTGCATGGCACAGCATGGCACAGCTCCTCTCCCACTGCCCAAAGCCCCGGGTGCCCAGGACAGGGATGGCACAGCGGGCACAGTGCTCCTGGAGACACCCCACGCTCCCATCCCATCCCATGGCACTGGAACCGAGGGGAAAACGCCAAGTCACCACATTTCTTCGAGGTAGCACCGAGAAGGAGGGGA